TCAAACATATAGCACTTAGCCTTATACGTGTTTTCTATGAAAGAGGTAAAATCGTAATTGTCAGTTTGCAGATGATAAAATTAAGGCACAGGGAGTTTATATAACAATTTGCCCATGTATACATAATAGCATGTTGTAGATCAATGCATACCTACTGAAGAGTTTTTGAAAAACTTTTCTGTTCTGAGGTTTTTCTAACCCTCTTTTGAGTGTGTGTGTGTGTGTGTAAAAATCTGTGATCTGGGGAACTGGATCACCATTATCTTTAATTTTGGATTCCTCTTTCATTAAGTTGAGCTTTGGGGTGTTGGTGATTTTGATAATGAGTTTCTGAAAAGAATGGTTGCCACAATAAATTAAACTATTCAAGTCCCTATTTTACGTAGTGCTTGCATTTGAGAACAAATCCCTATCAACATGAGCATTCAAAGTCATTGCCTTTGGATTAATACTTATTAACCACATCCTGTGTACAGTGTCTCACTTTAGGCACAGTTATCACAGAATGTCAAATAAGGGACATCTTTGAACTGGGTGGGCCAGGTGAGTCTTCCTTTCCATTAACACTTCCATAAAAAATATACTCATGTGTAACTCTTATGAGACCATATGAGTGGTACCAAGCATTGTGGGGGGTTCAGAGAAAGCAGAGGTAATTAGAAGGAAATTTCTCTGAGGAAGTTGGTTGAGAGCTAGGTTGTGGATTTCTTTCTGCCACTTGTATTTAAGGTAGGAGTAGCACAGGTGCTGAGGAAAAAGTGGTGTGCACAGGTGTGATTGTTGGGTAAGGCACATAGGTGGGAGGAAATAATTTTAGAGCTGTAGTTTGGGGTTATGTCATGGGTTTTATTTAATGCCATTCTGGACAATTGTTATTGCAGCACAAATGGGAAAGAAGAAATCACTTAGAGTCATTCTGGATAGAATTCGTGGGACTTGGCGACTAATAGAATGGGAAAGGTCTGGGTGGATGAGGGGTCGGTCGAGGACAGTGTCAGACTGAAGTGGAGGAGGCTCTGGTGAGGGTGGATCAAAATCAGAAGAGCTGATTTTCCTCTTAGCCAGCTGAGCTGTGGCAAAGATTATTGGGACAATTGCTATGAACATTTGGTGACCTCTGCAGTTGAAAAGCTGGTTTGTATGACTTAATGTTGTAGGTAGGGCATGTGTTGAAGGAGAGGGACACTCCTTCAATAAGTTGTAGAGAAAATGCCTGTCTGTGCCAATAGCTATCCTGTGTAATATATTTAGTGTATTTAATGAAGCATCACAGGAGCCTTTTAGTTAATCTTAGGAAAATGGAAAGGGGAACATTTGTGGGTGTACTGATATTGGCACTGAGTATATAGTGTTGAAGTCAAACTTTCTTGGCATGAGTCTCCTAGAGGCCCCTGGAATCCCTATGGCCTGGACCAGGATTGCAGGTGTTGCCTGCATCCACTGGAGCCTCAGTCTTTGCAGGGCGGATGGGTCTGTCTGTTGCACAGTCCTCTCTGTTCCCTACATAAGCAGCATGGACCATGCTGTCTTGCTTCCTCACAGGTGCTCCTCAGGATGACACAGTCCTGTCTGCTTTGGATGACTGTTGCATCCCTAGCACTTGGCACTCTTCCTGGTATGTGGTAGACTTAAAAAACAAACAAACAAACAAACAAAACAAAAAAAAAAGGAAGTAATGAGGAATTATTCTCACGGTCTGTGGCTATTTTATTTGTCCTGTTTATTTAGTAAGTTGGTGGTAGATAACTGTTGACCTGATGAATAAAGCTTTGAGAGTCTTGATGTTTGGATGACAATTGATATTGAATCAAAGGCCTATATCTCTTTACCACTTATATGTTATTCCATAGTTGAATGCTTCAGCTAGAATGTCTGTTCACACTGCACTCAAGTCAGTCAGCAGTTTGGTGTTTGGACAAGCCATATGTTATTGGAAGGCACTTTTTATATCGAATATTTGGATGGTCCCTCATGTATGCAAACAGGGAGGCATTTACTAGATGGTCCTGTGTGCCCTGGGACAGCTCAGTGGAGGTTGCTATCTTGCCTCTGTCATTTTGAGGCCATTGATCATCTGAGCTGAGGCCTAAGGTGTATGCAGAATTT